TAGGTCATGGAACAATCATAATTTTCCCCATTGATTATTAAGGTTTATTTGCACAGTTTCAGCTTTCATGGTAATTTTTATGGTCTCACACTATTATGCAAAGCGAAGTCTGTTTGTATCTTAAAGTATCATAAAATTCTACTTATTTTTGGATTTCTTCTCCTTTACCTTATTGATTGCTGAAGGACAGGACTTCAATTTGCATATTCTATATAATAAGTATCAGATAACAAAATTTGAATAAAAGTAAAATAATCCAATGAGCATAATTGATTTGACATAGACGAGTAGTTAACACTGAAATAAAATATGAGATAAGTGAATTAAAAATATAAATGTCTGTGCCATCCTGGACTTTTAAAATGTATTTATCCCACTAAAGCAAATATGTACCTAACAGGCTCAAACAGTTTAAGCATATTCACATGCCCCAATTCCCTAATTAATTTCCACCTGTGCTTGCCATTCTGCAGTTTCTCACTGTATCTCTATAAAACTGCATTTTTTTCCCTTAAGCTCCATATATCCTAACAACGGGTAGAAGATTATATCAGTTACCTGTTGCTACATAACAATTTACTCCAAATTGATCAACTTAAAAGTTTCTAATGACTGAATGCTGAAAGTGGCTCAGCTGAATACCTCTGGCTAAAGTGTCTTGTTTTTTTAATCACGCTGTTGGCCAGGGCTGGAGTTTTATCTGAAGGGCAACCTGGGGAGGGTGGAATGTCAAGTTCATTTATTTGGTTCATGAAAATATTTAGGTCCTCAAAGATTTTGAATGAAAAGCCTCAGTTTCTACCTGGCTATTGTCTGGAGCCTCACTTCTTGCAGTTTGAGATTTTTCACAGGGTATCTCACAGTATGACAAATATCTTCCCAGAAAGTGCACAAGCCAGGGAGTGAGGAAGAGCACCTTAGATGAAAGTCAACAGTCAATTTTGTAAAGTAGTTTTCCAAGTAATGTCTCATTATATATGCAGTATTTTACTAATTAGTAGCATTTCAAAGAGTCCAGGTCACACTCAAAAAGAGAACATTTCATAAGGTACAAATACCAGAAATAGAGATATTTAGGAGCCAATTTAGAGACATCTTATCACAAAGGCTTTTCAGATCTCAATTTCAACTTATTGATATTTGGGACAGCATCGTTTATTTATAGGATTTGGGATCTGAGGAATAAGATCTGATTTTTTTTGGCAAGCCTCTTGCCTATCCATTACCAATAGGCAAAGGGGAAAATATTGGACTCTGTATCATCTTCCATTGCCCACAGGCCCATGAAGAGTGTATTGGGAGACTCTGAGCTTGCCAGTGGTGGTATAGACAATTGAAAAATAAAATTTATTTGAAAATATAAATTCTATAAATTATCCAGATAAAAATTAGCTTATAATATGTAGAGGTTATCAGAGAATATTGTTTTTCAACTTATTTTGATTTACTACACACACATGCCTACATACAGACACATACATATATGAAGAGATAATCTACCAATTAATTTTATGATTAAAGTAAAAGTATTAAGGACTTCCCAAAGTAGGAGGTTATCCAGTCAAGAAAAAAAACATGATAAACTTTCAGGATATCAAAACTAGTCAAAGATATTTTTCTTTATTCCCTGATCAAAACAATATTAAAGAATCATGAAATGTAATGCATAGTAGATTCAGCAGTATTATGCTTATTCTTTTATATTAACAAACTAAGTATAATTTCAAAATGAATATGGAAGAGGAGGTCGTTTAAGTCATTTATTAAACTAGCAAAAGTTGCTGGAAAAATCACACCTCCATTATCTTATGTGATGCTACGTAGAAAAAGATTAACATAAAAGAGTGAATAAATTATCTCAGTTAGACATTCCTGTAAAATTATAATGACCTCCTAATAGTACCAAATATAAATACCATTGATAAAAATGTTAATGGTATAAACTAGGGAAAGTCCATTGTTTGGAGCAGGCAATAATATCATGGTCTAGATTTGTTATAATTTACAATAAAATCTATGAATTTAGGATGGCTGGCTGGCTTGAAAATAGGGAGAAGCTTGGTAGGGCGCAGTGGCTCAAGCCTGTAATCCCAGCACTTTTGGAGGCCGAGACGGGCGGATCACGAGGTCAGGAGATCGAGACCATCCTGGCTAACACGGTGAAACCCCGTCTCTACTAAAAAATACAAAAAAACTAGC